TTTGCTTCTCAGTTTGGTTTATCAGCTCATTCCATGTGATGATAGTAGTACAGTCATTTTTCTGGCTTGGGAAGTGAAATTTCATGGAAATGGATAGTGCCAATAAAAAGGCAAGGCTTGTATTTTAGAAAGGTCTTTGATCACCTAGAGAACCTGTGCTTAAAATATAAGGATGCCAGAATATCTAAAAGCATGCAAAAAAAGGTGTTTTTTAAATTTTACTGTGCTTCCAGAAGGCATCTAGGCTGGCCATATCTTTTTAATTTTTTTCAATGGGAACCATGCTTATGATGGAATCAGAAATAGCGGAATGAGTCTGGTGCAGATATTATTGTCCAGAGTATGCACATTTGTTTGTGTGCCCCAGTTGACAAATAGGCCATGCAGGTATTTGACGCTCCAGAAAATCTTGGAAAACTGCCTGATAACCACTGTTGCTTAAAGCTACGGTAAATGCTACCAAATCTTCAGGCAAGGGAGAACAACTCATTGTGAGCCACCCAGAGAGTGGCAACACTAATAGGGCAGAATGTGAGTGAGTAAACAAACAAACAACAGCAGGTTTGATAAGGCTGTCAAAATTCCTTGAGGATTCCACTCCCTCAGAAACCGCCACCAGATTTTACCTTCTAGATTAATTTGTAGGTTCCTCCGAACTGAAGAAATTCCAGGCAGAAAAAGACACACATCAAACTAACAGGATTTCCTAAAAGTGTTTGGCATATTCCTCTGCCGTAACCTACAACTCTTCTCACACAGTTCTGTATCAGCAACGAAGTTTCTGTATGTCAGGAACCCTAAGAAAGAAGAAGATTCTCTCTGGACCATCTGGAGAAGCACCCGCAGAAGGTTTTAAAAACAAAATAAAACCAAAAAATAGAACTTTCCTTGGATGAAGACAAAGAAGAACCCCAAGAATCAATTCTGACAAAGTCCTGTTTCTGTTATTGCCCATATTCTTGGATACTTCCTCTTCCTTGTCTTTCTTCTTTCTTCCCAATCATTCTGACAAGCAAGCATGACGCAAGTGAAGATTTGCAACCTCATCTCAGAATCCAGAGATGCCAGATATCTCTGGAGGATGGAATAGTAGCCCATAACTTTCTTCTGACAGACCTTTGCATTGTAGACCAGTTGCTGAGAAAGGGTTCCTTAACAGTTGGGAACTGTATTTACCCAAGCACTGTGCTTTTGAATGGGCCAGAATCTTATTGCTATTTGTGTAAGGTCTATAATTTACTACTGCTAACTGCAACTAAGTGACAGTGTGCTCAGGTACATCTTGGTCCCATAACTGGGCACATGACAAGACATGTAACTTTGACAGCTAGCCATAAGTAGCTATGGCAAGCTGCATAAACACATTCCAACACCAAATGAATGTTTGAATTGTTCCTTTTATTCCTTTTAATTTTTTTAAAAAAATTCAAACTTATTTTGTTCCAATCACACTTTTTATTCACTCTTAGATCCTACTATGCATGCTAATATTACTTGCTCTAATACATGCACTGCATGCACGCATTCACTTCCCACATGTCCATTGCATAAAGTGAGCATTTAATTCCATTAAGAATTCTCTCCTGTGATTCTGATATCTGTTTACAATGTTAAACATGTAATCCTTTTAGAAGTTTGCAAAACAGCTCAAATTTGCTGAATTTGTTGATGGAAAACATTCTCATTCTAAAATGTAAATATTTAACTTTGGAGTAGCTGTATTCTATCAGAAAAGGAGTGAAGTTATCCCTTCTTACAAATGTATGGCAGTGATATCTTCATTACAGGGAACAGGAAAGAACTACAAGCAATAATTATAATTACTCCCAATCTTGGAGACAAGAAGAGTGTATATCACCTTGAATTTATTGGAAGAAAAGCAAGCAATAAAATATGTAAGGAATACTAAACAATACTCAACCTAAGTAATTTGTAAGCCATTCAATCAAAATGGTATGTAGGAACTGTAAAATTCTGAGCTGTTCAGCTTTGCCTCACAATGAGAAGAGGATGGATTATTTGTATGTGATTTGCTCCACCTAGCCCTGGTCATAGCCTGTGAAATAGGATTTGGACATCATTATTGTGTTCGGAGTTTAAAAAAAATAGGAGAGAGTGGTTGCATTTAGCACCAGTTTTCTTTTCACTTCAAACAAATGAGACTCCTGCACTTGCTGCCTTCCACAGAAGCAGGCACTTAATATATTGTCTCAGCAGCGACAAGTTCTTTCTGTATATGCAACCTTGTTCAAAGAGTCAAGAAGGCATTCAACCTCACTCGCTACTTCTTTCCCTCCCTCCCTCCACATACACACATAAACCCATAACTCCTATCCTGTGAGCATTTATACATGCTAGTCTTGCTCAAAATGAAGTGATTGTCATTCAAGCTACTCAGTCCAATTTCTCATCATGGATTTGCTTCAAAAGCATGGGGTGCCTTCATACACTGCATGTCAGAACCTAGAGGTCATACACTGCAAATAACATTATCAGGATCCATGTCCTTTTTTTAAAAGACAGAAACATTTTAATGAGAAATGCTACATCATCATGTGTTTTGGCTGTAATCAGTAGCACAGACCTAATTGTTTAAAAGGAATGAGTAAAGAATTACTTTTAAAAAGTAACATCCTAAACTCACCTTCATTTACCTTAAAAACCATACACTATCACTACATAAAATCTGAAGTACAGAATTTAAGTGAAGGAAGCATCTCTCAGATATTTTCACTCTGGAGCAGGAACCCTTGGAAAATAGTGGATGCTTGTAATTAATTCCTTTCACAAAAACAAGTTATAATTACGTTACATTATTGTTGTTATGTACTGCTGGGTCAGAACTAACTTATAGAAACCCTAAAAGGAGTTTCAAAGTAAGTTTAATGTTTAATGAATGTTTTACCAGTTCTACCCCACAAGAGAGTTTCCATGGCCAAGCAGGGTTTTGAACCTAGATCTCCTGAGTCTTAGTCTCACTTTATCCACTACATCACACGGAGTATCTCACAATTATGTAACATTATAATTATAGAAAAGTGAGAGGTAACTTCACTACTTTTGAAAATTTCAGTTACTTTTCTAGTTAAAAAGATGTGGCCGAAGAGGATTATCACATGTTCCAAGTGCTGGCTTGCGGTGTGCCTCATGTTGCCACCTCGTACTCCACTGTGGGTACGGAGAAGAATAGTCTTTTATTACATAATAGCAGCTTCTAGCACTCGATATCTGGAATAGCAAAGAAAAGGCAACCAATTCCTAAAGGACTCCAATTTTGTAATTGTCAGGAGAGCTGCAGAAGCTTCTGGGACTGACAAGTTTAGGCCAGTGTGCCTTCTCCGAGTAGGAGAGGGAGGCAGAGAGATGAGTAAGATGTAGGGGCAACCCATTGTCAACTGGCTCTCTTCAGCAGTTTCGGGGATTTTAAACAAAGCAAAACAAAACAAAACAAAACACAGGCCTTCAATCAGTTTGCTCTGGGAACCATGGATTTTGCTTTCTGAGGGCAGACTAGCTGCTGTTGGAGAAAGTGCTGAGCAGCTTTTGCAATGACAGGAGCAATTGTCAGGATAGCTGAGAAGCACCACTTGCACGTCTTCCTTCCTTTGTAACAGACTCCAGAACAGTAAGACGCACAGTTTACAAAGTCTCTCCTGATTCCCCCCCCCCAGGTCAGAGCAAAAGACTCTGTGAAATCCTGATAGTAATTCCATTTCACTTTATTATTATCAAAAGCCAGTCTCTTTGCATCATCCTAAGCAAAGTTCAACATGCTTCATTTTGTATTTCGTAATTTACTTCAAAAACGGAAATAAACCACAAGATGCTATAATATGCATTCCATATATATATGTATGTACATGTATCAAGCACACAGATTTTGTTTTGCTGGAAGGAACAGTTTGAGGGACAATATGTGGCTTTTCCAGAACCTCTTCTTCCTTCTTTCTTTCCTTTCTTGATATCCAACTTCTACAAAGTCATTAGGAGCAGGGGAATGGGGGGAAAGGATGAAGTTTCATTTAGGAAATCTCCATGTATATAATTCTCAGATTCTTTAGGGTCCATCATTCTGTGCTAGTCTAGAAGAAATACCCAAGCAAAGTCTGCCTCATGAAGACCAATGTCCCTCCATATTAATCCAGCTTTGTTTGTATACGTGTGTGTGTGTGTATGCTCCTTGGCAGCAGATACCAGAGAGAACAATAGAAGTCCTTTGCTGGTCTTCTGAGCCAACTGGCCATTTCCCCTGATGAAGGACAGAGCTGTGATGGCAACCAACCTGTCCTGCTTCTCTAAACTGGCCTCCTGCCATCAGGTGTGATGAAGGATGTTATTCAATAGTCAACATTCAACTGGCAGGCCAATCAGCTTCTGAATGCAGAAAAGCAGAGAGCATGCCATCTCATCCTTTGCCTCTTGCAGCAAAATGTCCTGAGTAGGTTCTAATAGTCACACCTCGCCTCCTCCCTCTCCCCTGATCTGTATTTTCACAGTGTGGGAAACCTGCTGTTATTTTGTGCCACCAAGTTGCCTCTGACTTATGATGACCAAAATATTCTGTCCTCAACTGTCCTGCTCAGCTTTTAGAAAATCATATTCAGTCTTCCTCTTTTCCTGCTGCCTTCCATGTTTCCCAGCATTATTGTCTTTTCCAAAGAATTCTGCCTTCTCGCGATGTGCCTAAAATAGGACTTCAGTTTCAATATTTTTGCCTCCAGAGATACTCCGTTCAGGCTTGATCTAATCTAGGATCCCCTTGTTTGACTTTCTGGTAGTCCAGGATATTCACCAGCACCACATTTCAAATGAATCAATTTTTTCCCCTGTCAACTTTCTTTACTGTCCAACTTTCACACGCATATATGGTGATTGGTCATATAAGAGTGTGGATGATCTTGGTCTTGATCTCCAGTGACATATCCTTATATTTCATGATCTTTTATAGTACTCCACCTGGATTGATGATTGAACCAAAGTTGTTTTCTCTTCTTCCCCCCACATTCCCTTGCTCTTCCAAAAAATTAAAACATTCCCATTACAGATTAGTATAAAGCACTGATTTAAAAAAATCCCAGCAAAACTGCACATAGTCTGTCATCAATGAATTATGAACTGGAGAAGTGGGGAGTTCTTTTGCCAAATACGGGAAAGTGAATATTTGTAACAAAAGAGTCTTCAATACCATGCAATGTATGAGTTCATGCTTATGCCAGATAGAGTAGCATAAATCATTAGTTGGGCATCTTAGGTTAGGAGATTAAGATCAGCAAAAGTACTCATTTGGCTGTCCTTCTGCCTTGGGTATTGCTTCTGAGTCCACACTAGACCTTGCTGAGAGCAACCGGTTAGATTCATCTGGTGTATGTCTTGTCAAGTATTCCCCTTCTGTTCCTTTTATTTTGGCCCCCGGAGAGAGGCTTTCAAAGGTGACATACGAGTCCTGAATTTCCTTGGGTTTCCGGGTGAAACACTTTTTGCAACGTCTTTTCAAGGCCCCACAACAGACCACTAACGTCAGAGGGACGGCAATGACACAAGCTACGCTAATGACTACTACGTTGATAAGCTTCTGGGTGCCACCAGCACTAGCAACTTCATCAGTGGAAAAAATGATGCACTGTTCCTTCCGGGGAATCAGTCCTTTGACACAGACACAAACGATATATTTGGTCTTGGGCAGCAGATCATTGATGGTGATCTTGGTCTTACCAGGCTCTACGTTAATTCGACGCATCTCCCTTTCTCCAAAGATCGCATAGAGGACACTGAAGACTGTTGTATTCTTCACTTGGGGAGCCTTCCATGCTAATGTCACACTACTATCTGTGTCTCCTATTACTCTCACCGACCTTACAATACGTTCCGGCTCCTGTTGAGCAGGAGGAGGGCTTGCTAGGAGATTTTTTGGATTGTTGACCATATTTGCAGCCTCATCTTGAAGTTCCAGATTTTTTTCCGTGTTGGCACGAATGGATCTGGCACCCAAGGTGGGGGATGTGGATGTTGTGATAACATATCTGGCCACTAAATTATCATTGTAAGCTGCTGCTTCCATGCCACTTACTTTTCCATTCCACGTGCCTTTCGAATTTGATGTGGGGTCATCTGTGCTTTCGGAGTCTGTGATGATAAGGGAAATGAAAGCTTCTGTTGCTCCGAGGAAGTTTTTGGCTTTGCATATATATTCTCCAGAATCAAGGTAAGAGACAACAGGCAAGCCTAAAATGGACCAGCTCATTCCATCACTGGAAATTTCTTGATGTACTGAAAGAAAGAAAGCAACAAAGAGGAGTTTCAAGAAAATTGACCAGTTGCGATTCCCATCCACACACACAACTTTTTCAGAAATATTTGATTGAAATAAAAAGGGCCACACTTCTCTACTCAAAAGTTCTTTTTCCCTCTCTTTTTTTATCTGTTGAAAGCAGTAAATCTGTTGAGACTTGTTGAAGAAAACAGTTGTGTTTGTTAGTTTTGCTATTTTACCTCTTCAATTGTAAGTGATGAAACCTTTTCTTCTTTCTCTAACTAATGCCTCAGAGAGAATTGTTGAGACTGTAAGTGCCAGTCTGCTCTGAGGAACCTGAAGCTAATTGAGCTCCGTGAATCCCTGCTCTTCCACTGCACAGCCAGAAGAATTTCAAAACTCTGCAACAAAAAAACTGCCCATTGGGATAAAAACCAGCTGCACAAACTTCACAATTTCTCATAGTTAATGAATTTTTAGGCACATGACTGCTTTGTTCTTCAGAAGAGAATCCACTTCTTTCATTCTGCCCAAGGCACTATCACAGCCACCAACCAACACAGGAGGAGAATAACTTACCTGTTCCATTGAGGGGATTTCCATCAGCTCTCCTCCAGCTCAGTTCAGGGACTGGCACCCCAGTGGTCCCACAGCGCAGCAGCACAGTGCTTCCCAGGATGGTCTTAACTTTGGCGACTGACGTGTGCACAACAGGGCTCTGACACTTCCTCAGTTCAACTTGGCTGAAGAAAACTCCTGCCAGACTCCGAGGCGTGAAGCATTTCAGTCTTGGTTCAATGAATGCAATGTTGGGGGACTGGAAATTGAGGAAGTGAACCATTTCATAGAGGCTGCAGTCACATGCCCAGGGATTGTCCTGTAAACCTTGAAAGAGAAGGAATTCAGACTGTGAATCAGCATACCCACAACGGGCTGAAGAAAAAGTGATTACTATAAATACACATGTTTCTTTGAGTGTCCCTCTCCTATTTTTGCTCTCTTTCACACACAATTCACATGCAAGGCCAGAACATGTTACTCAACGATGTTTTGCATACTCTGACACATAAAGCATAATAGCTGAATTGTGCAAGATTTCAGAATGTTGAACTCTCTTCTCTGTGAAGTCCTTTCTCACCAACAGCAGACACTATCATGTTTTCTTAAGCCTTATAGGCTGGCAGTTGTTCTGAGCATTGTTACATGAGCAACAATCCAAGAAACTTCTGACCACTATTATTAGATAGACCGCTCAAGGTTGACTCAGCCTTCCATCCTTCCAAAGTTGGTAAACTGAATACCCATCTCTCTCTTGGGGCTGGGTAATGTCTAGTCAGCATAATTAAATAAATTGTTAACCTCCCAGAGAGTGTATATAAGCTGCACACTTTCTTACTGTTTTGGAGATCAACTAGCAAAACCACTACTTTCATTCTCCATGATGAGGTAAGCAACATGTGGCTTTCCAGATGTTTTTGGTGAAGTCATTTGTCAGCAATCATTGCAGTTGTCCAATAATATCTGAGCCAACAAATGTTCCAGGACCATAATAAAGACTTCAAAAGATGTGCATGCAAACAGATAATGTTTTATTCTCATTCTGATTAAAAAAAAAAGATTTGGAATGCTCTCTACACACAGTCTTTGCCCTCCATACAGATATGCTGGAATGCAAATCATGTGTACAAAAAAACAATTGCCAGGGCTCCCTACTCCCCGCCCCCATCAAAAGCGAGAGGAACTACCAGGGAGGGAGCCAGATGCCGGTGGCAGCTGGTTTGGAGCATCATAAAAAGTTGCAACTTAAGTGTTCCATTTATTATTAATTCCAATGAGGAAGGAAAGTGTTTGTGGAATTTGGGGCCTGAAGTGACAATTTTTGGTTCTCTGGTTTGTGTACTATGGATCTTGATTTGTGTAGGGTGAGGTACCATTTGCTGCTACACTTCAGAGAAAGCAAAATACCTTGGGCTGGCTCTCATAGTGGAATGCCCTCCCAAATGTGATTCTACTCCTCCTTTCTAGATGTTAACTTTAGTCTGGTGTACGCAATCATCTTGTTGAAGGCTTGTGCCTTAGGTATATAAAAGTCTTATTAGGTTGGTTGGCCATCTTTGATTCTACTGATTATCCCAAAGAAACTGCAGGACAAGTGGGGTGGGGAGAGAGAATATTGCAGCTTTGTTTCCTGACAATCCAACTGGGAGACATAATCCAGAAAAAAAGACAAAGCAAAATCATGACTTCAACCTGAAATACTATGTGTCACTACAATATAGTATGGCCCTATAGTTAACTTTCCTTTCCTTGTCAGTCTTTCGTCAACTCCATGGAGAGCAAGAAAGAAAGAGATCTATAGCCTCTTAGGGAGGTAGTGCAGCTGCAACACCAGCAATTCCTTGCACATCCTCCAGCTATCTTAGAAGAGTGGCAGAGGTGTATCTCTTCCTCAGCATGGGCAAATTAATTTGCCCCTTTAAAAATGGAATTAGTTTGTATTTGCTTCTGCTTCCTATTGAAGCCCTTCCAGCAGCCAGGCCCACCAGATTCAAATTTCTCTTACACAGTTGTTGTTGACTCCTGGAATTCTTCTAGGTCCAACAGGCAATAATTCTGCTAATTTGGTCCCTTTTAGATTCTTCTGCTGTGTTCTGACTTTTCTGGATCTAAGCAGAGTCTCATATGAGATACTGATGTGGTGTAGACTCAGGTGGTGAATGAGTGGCCCTCCATATGCCATGGAATTCCAGCTTCCATCAAACTCAACCAGAATATGCAATCCTCAGGCAACAATCCCAGAGATCAACAAGTTCCTTGTTTCTGGTATGGGCAATACTAAGCAAGACGCCGAGAGAGGCCCAGAAAGAAAGAACAAGAAACCAGGCCTTCTCGGTGGTGGCCCCTCGACTCTGCAACAGCTTGCCGCCAGAGATTCGCCTGGCACCCTCGCTGCGTGTTTTCAAGAGCCAATTAAAAACTTGGCTCTTTAGGCAAGCCTTCCCTCCTGCCATTACTTGACTTTTACTTTTCTTGATTTTGCTGTTTATTCCCATCTTGATTATAGTATTATTGTAGATTTTAATTGTTGTTTTAACTGTTTGTGCTCAATATACTGTGAGCTGCCCTGAGTAGACTTCTGTCTAGAAGGGCGGGATAAAAATCCAATAATAAAATAAATAAATATGACACAATAACACTTGAGTATGAGGGAGCTTCCTATGATGCTAAAGAGGTGTCTCCCCCCCACACCCTTAAAAAGAGTTGCCTACCCCCTCCATCCACCTATTATTGCATCTGCTGCCGCATGACAAGCTCCTCATAGCTTCAAAAACGAGGTTTGCCATGAAAGGTGCTTATGAGGCCTACCATCTGTTGGGAGATGCTGCATGCACAGATGTGTTCCAACAGTATTTGGTAAGCTTATTTGCCCGGGATTCTCCTAAGAGGCTCTGCACACAGAAAGCTTATAATGTCGCTCAGACAAGCAAAGACTACTAAAAGATCATTCAGAATATGTTTTATTTGTCAGATGCATGTGAGCAGCAGCTGCTCAGCAAAGCAGGAAGAGACAGTGACAGAGGATATAAAGAATGCTGAATTATTCAGCATTTACTTTGCTCCATTCTTTATGGAAGAAACTGTGTTGTGATGGGGTATTTGGAAACACTGGCAAATTCAAGGATGGGGAAGAGCTCTGATCAGGGTAAAAGGGGGATCTGTCAATTTGTCAGTATGCCAATTTGAATACACTCACATCTGCTAAGCCCAAGGACTTTCACAGCAGGCTCCTGAAGGATCCAGCTGGGCAAATTTCAGGAAAGATCCAGACATCTGTTAGCAGGAGTACATCTAGGAAACTAGACTGCTGCCAAATTACTGCAATGTATTGGAGGGACAGGTTTTTAGTGGGAAAACAGCAGACATAACCCTTTCCTCCACATCAGAGTTTTCTCTATAGCTTCTTCCTTCCAGCCATCTGATGTTGCTAGGTGTATGTTTGTTTCAATGTTGTAAGCACAGCGAGGCTCCCAGTCAAAATAAAATTTTTTTTAAAAAAACTCACCATGATAAAGCACAGCCTGCCCTGCTCTTTCCATTAAACAAAAACAAAAACTCTAAAGACTCGTGTTGGAGTCTTTCCACCCTTTACAGCAAAAGTAGGCAAGCAGTTGCTTTCCAGATGCTATTGCAATTCCCATAATCCTTCCTTGTTGGCTATTATCTGTACTGGCTAGGAGAAATCTGAGTTGCAGGCTGACAACACTGGGTGAGTCACAAGTTGCACACCCTTGTGTCACAGCAACATCAGGAATACTTTTGTCTCCCAAGCTTGGTGTCAATGTGCAAGATGAAGTTTTCCTCGCATCTGACAGGGATCCCAGATGAAATCGGCCCCAACCTATGCCTCTGCTTTGTAGGGATGGGAAGAATATGCACTGAATTTCTCATTCTCATTGATGTCGGCTTTCTCAGCATGAAAAGAAACCTCAATAAGAATTTTGAAGCCTACAATATTTTTTGCCTCCAGCTGTGAGTGAAACAAAGACTTCTCTGTAATTTGTGTAGGGTGTCTCTAATAGGCATGGGGTTTTTTGGTGTCGTTTTGTTTTTTTCATTACAAGTACCACAATTAATCAGGAATTCCTCTTGCCAGAATTCTGGCACCTGTAGCCAAAATAAATAAATAAATAAAAATATCCAAGTCCACAGAGGAGTGTCAGCACACACGCACACACCTGAGGCCAAGTGTGTGTGTGTGTGTGTGTGTGTGTGTGTGTGTGTGTGTGTGTGTGTGTGTGTGTGCAGCCACCGCGAACAGAGAGCATCTATGTGACTTGCTGAGTTCCATGGGAACTTCAAAGGGTTTGTGGGATTTGTAGTCTTTTGGCTCATTAGGCTCTGCACACGGTGGATCACAAAACACACACACACACACACACAACCCTACAAATCTTAACAATAGTTGATAGTTAAAGATGCAAACAACCTATGAAATTCTTCAAATTCTTCATGAATTCTCATCTTAGTTTTAGGAAATTCACAAAGTTTAAATAATTGTGTGAAAGAGATAACACCTAATTTTGTTTTGTTTTGTTTTGTTTTTGCACAAATCATTGTTCTCATCAATGGACAAACTCGATCAAAACTGCCAGGAAATTCCTTGTTACCCTTGCTAAAGAGGAGGAAAATTTTGACATTCCTTCTTTTTATCAGTAAGGAAAAGATGGGTAAGGATTTACATCCCTGCTGCTTCCTCTTATCCAGGAATGTTAAGAACGAACAACCCATATCTGTCAGATTCCCTCTTCATGAACCCCACATCCTTCATAAATGCATTCAGAGTGTTTTGAGTGACTATTTGGTCCTTCCGCATCAATAATATTTCTTCATCACCACCCACATTATTAAATGCTAAGGTTTTAGTAAGTTGTTTCATAGTGCCTAATGGAGATATTATGCTGCCTGAGGCACAATAAGCAAGTGGCGCCCTAATCCACTGTAACTATGTGAGGTGTGTAGTCACCAAAAGCATGTAGATTTACTCTAGCACAGGAGTCAGAAAATCACGCCCTAATCCACTGTAACTAAGGTGTGTAGTCACCAAAAGCATGTGGATTTACTCTAGCACAGGAGTCAGAAAATCTCTTGAGAGTCCCTTCTCATCTCTAGTGATAAAAGTTAGACCAAGCTATTGTATGTTCAATGTGTTCTCAAAGGCTTTCCCAGCCAAGATCCGATGGTTGTTGTGACTTTTTTGGGCTGTTTGGCCGCGTTCCAGAACACGGCCGAACAGCCCAAAAAACCCCACAACAACTATTGTATGTTTGTTTGTCTTGAGATCCATTGTGCACAAGCCTCAGCATCCTGAAGAAAAAAATGCTCAC